AATTATTAAGGGTTCATGGGGGAGGGGGAGTAAGGAGGGAGGGGGAGGGGGGAAAAGGAAAATGAGCTGATTCCGGGAACCCAAGAGGAAAGCGAATTTTGGGAATGGTGAGGGCAGCAACTGTATAGGTGTGCTTTACACAATAGATCAAGTATTGTGATGAATTGTATGAGCCCTAATAAAATGATAAAAAAAACAATTGGGATTAAAAACAATAGTTAATAATAATGGATGTCATGCCTATTCAATCTGCATGCTAAGCAAATAATCAGAAACGCTGGATTAGGTGAAGAGGAATGTGGCATCGGGATGGAGGAAGGCTTATTAGTAACCTGAAATATGCAGATGACATACCCTTGCTGAAAGTAAGGAAGCTGTGAAGCACTTGCTGATGAAGATGAAGGATTGTCATATTCAGGATGGATTACAACTCCATGTGAAGACTAAAATCCTCACAACTGGGCCAAGAGGTAGCATCGTGATAGACAGCAAAAAGATTGAAGTTGTCAGAAGTTTTGTTTTTCTTGGATCCACAATCAGTATTCATGGAAGTAGCAGTCAAGAGATCAAACAACACATTGCATTGGGTGGATCTGGTGTATGAAACATCTTAAAGTGTTAAAAAGCAAGGATGTTAGAGGAGAAAGCTATGCTTGATCCAAGCGACGCCGTGTTTTTTTCAATTGCCTCATAGGCATGGGAAAGTTGGACATTGAATAGGAAGTTGAAAGAAGAATCAATGCATTTGATTTGTGGTGCTGGAGAAGAATAGTGAACATTCATGAACTGCTAGAAGAACTAACAAATGTGGCTTGGAAGAAATACAGCCAGAATGTTCCATAGAGGCAAGGATGGTGAGACTTTGTCTCACGTAATTTGGACACATTGTCAGGAGAGACCAGTCCCTGGAGAAGGACATCATGCTTGGTAAAGTACAGGGGCAGCCAAAAAAAGGAAGACTCCCAGCAAGATAGATGGGCAAGGGGCTGCAACCAGGGCCTCAAATGTAAGAACAACTGTGAGGATCACACAGGACTGAGCAGTTTCATTTGGTTGTGCACATGGCCACTATGAGCCGGAACCGACTTTAAGACACCTAACACCAGGTTTGCTATTAGCCTGGTGGAAATCAAAGCACTCTGTATGGTTGTCAGTGTTTCTAAGTTCTGAAAGACTGGCATTTTTAAAGAGTAAATTCTTGAATTACTATCATTTTGTATGCGCTAGCTTTAATTACAGAGCTAATTATTTTATCCTATGACACCTCCCATCACACACATACCTCTAAAAACTCTACCGTCAACCCTCACATATATATAATAAATCATTTGCTTGGCTGGTGCCCCCAATGCCAACGTGCTGTTTAGAGCTTTATTTTGCTTCCAAATATGTCGCCCAATTTTATCCAAAATATCAGTGAAGGAAGAGGCTATTTCTTCTTGCTGTTTTCTCGCCTGTACTGGAGACGGGCAAGTCATCTAATTTCTGGGTTTCAGACACACAAACCTACTGTTACGAGATGTCCCACAGCCAACAATTATTCAACCCACCTTCAGGATCTAGTAGTCTTGGGATCCCCAGTTCTGTTTCAGCGATAGTGAAAGCCTCCTCCAGGTTTTCTCTATTAGATCTTCCTTTCACTTTCTCCAAATCCACTAGCTCGGGGCGAATTGCGTGGATAACTGAATGGAAGGCAACGCCACTCCTCCAACTCCGTCCAAAATCTTTTACTTCTATTCCAGCCTGCCTTCATAGGACACCAAATAAGACCACGTCAAACCAGATACAGTAAATGCTTTCCTCAGATCCCATGCAAAAGCCATTCTTAAACAAGAAATACCGTGAAGATACTTACATCCTTAGCTGGTCTTGAGAAATATTAAGCAGAACAAAATGTGTACGGGGTAGTATGATACAAGTGACATGCTAGTCCCACAATTAGAGTTTTCTATATTAGGTGTTTCAGTAATTTAAATATTTAATTAAAAATGCATTTTACAGGTCAAAAAAAACAAATTTCAGAAGGTTTCTAGTAAAATAAAAAGGGAAGATTTATAAAAACTGTGATAATAATTTATCATTCTACAGTTTGGCTGGAAGACATCTCTTTTTTTGTTTGTTTGTTTATTTGTTTTTTTAATTATTTTATTGGAGGCTCATACAATTCTTATCACAATCCATACATCCATCCATTGTGTCAAGCACATATGTACATTTGTTGCCCTCATCATTCT